AGGGGCAACTGTAGGGTAAAGAAACAACAATTTGTACGATTTAGATTATGACACACTGGTGAGAACATTGCTAAGATTATTTCATATTCAGTTTCAGCCAATAGATCCCTTTAAACTTAATCTTACACACTGGACCTTTAAGTGTTACGTGAGGTTTTGATTTATAATTCAGGTAATTTTGACATGATGTTTGAAAGCTGTTTGACTCAGAGGTTTATGTTTTGCAGATGAGCCAGAGACTCGCGACGCCTGGTGGGAGGAGATTCGCCAGGAGATCAAATCTCATGCCAAAGCTCTTGGCTGCCATGCTGTCGTGGGCTACAGCGAGAGCACCAGCATTTGGTGTGTAATAGTGAATACATACATTGAGAACTACTGCACATTTATCAGTTTGCTGCATCACTTATACACACAAGGTTTGTCCTGTTCTCATCCTATTCCCTTCTTCTTAAAACAGTGAGGAGGTGTGTATCCTCTCAGCATCAGGCACAGCAGCCATCCTGAATCCTAGATACATGCGTGAAGGCTGCCTTGATACCGGAAACTCTGAACACAGGTTTGTTTTTGTGTGAATCTCTTTGGATGCATTGTTAATGTAATGTGGTGTAATTTATTTTATGTTAACTGAGTTATGATGTATGTCATACCAAGGGGTGTGTCTTGTTCCAGGTTTGAGGAACCATCTCCCCCGAGCTGTGGTTTTTGTCACATCCCATATGACGAGCTCAACATGCCATTTCCTGCCCAGCTCACATACTGCTACCGCTGCAGACGGCAAAAGGTCTCAATTTATTTCTTTTTATGAATTAAGACTTGCTGAGGATATATTTGGTTTTTCAGAGTACAAATTGCAGTTTACTTTTTTTTTTTTTAAGTGAGTTCACTATTTAAATTGTTTTTTGCTCTTCAAGGTTCCTGATGTGCTTTTCACAACAATCGACATGCCACCGGAAGCAGCTGTCACAGGGAAGGGCTGCCTCATCCAGGCCAGGTAAAATACTTTGTTGTGAAATCACCCCAAAGCTTTTTATAGAAAAACGCATAATTAACAAAGTTAAATCAGTTAGACTGTGTCTTAAAGAAACAATCTCAAATCTGTTTTAATAATTATCAGAGCTACAGATGATTATTCATCTGTAGCTAGATTACTACAGTTCCCTTTTTTCCTGCCTCAGCAAGTCGTATCTGGACCTTC